ACCTATGTGTCACACATTGCTAAATGGTTGCCTAAAGAGATCAATGAACTTTATTCCATGAAGCACAAAAATACAAAAGCCATAGGGGGCACAAAGGACAATTTCATATAAGTACAATGGTGGTGATTTTGTAAATAACATAAAAATTATTTCATGGTGATACCTTACCATAGCATGAGGTGGCATATGTGTCACCAAAACAAGGAATGGGTGACATTTAAGTAGATTAAGTGCCATTAGAAGGAAAATAGGTGGCACATAAGAGATAGGTGGCATACTTAGAAAAAGACTAGTGTACCATAGATGAGTAATGTGCATAGCCCATGTTTATGGTGATGGAACCACCATAAATAGGTCCCCCTTCCTCATTTTCAAAACGTGTACAAACGTTGTAGCCTTGTAAAGTCTTTGTTTATTGCAATACAAGTAACCTTTTCCAATTTATGTGTCTTGCCTACTTTATGCCTTAGTTGTTTCCTTTGCACTTGAGCTCACCAATCTAAGTGTTGCTGGGCAGGTCCATATGCTTGAGAGTAGTCTACTAGAAGTATGCCTACCCTACACTATAGTGAAATGTCTAGCAACTTGGGAATGTATGATATTTACAGCTCAGCTTGAGGGGGAGTGTTAATTTATTCTTAATCTTGTGCATTGGGGTACTTAAGTCTTTGTACTTAACATTATGTTTCACCCTATTTAAATAAGAATGTGGGGCACTGCCCATTTACCTATCGGCTCTCCAACAATTGTCTCTCGTATTCTTTCTTCTCCGAACTCTCTTTTATGTCAGATTATACCTAGGTACTTTTTTTTTTGTTTTTTGTTTTGTGATGTCTAACATATACCACTGTCTGACACAACATGTAGCTAATATGACACCAATTACTGCATGAACACTTATATACTTAATACTATTAATGCTTTAATACATGCAAATGATACATTTTAACATATTATTTTATAAAAGGTATGTATATCTTAGAGTGTTTATATTTTGCAAGATATATTTATTGTGAAAATGATATTTATCTTTAAAAATTATGTATTCATGTATGATATAAGCATAATGAATGGGGTGCCTGTGCCCATATCTCCTTCTGGGTTCCTATGAAATTATGTATTCATCCTTGTCCATGTTGACATCCAAGCCCAGGTATCATGAAGTACTATTATTCAGGTAGTGATTGAAGATGCTGGGTTTGTGTACTCAGGAAAGTTGGGTTTATCAGCATTTTAATCCTTGTTTATCTGATTTAGCAGGTAGCTAAACGCTTTGTTGAGGTTGCCCTTGATTATAGCAAAGATATTATCATTGGAAATGGGTTCCAAGGACCTTTTGATCACCTATTCAAGCTAAGTAGAGTGTGCAATTCATGCAAGGGGCAAAGGTTCAAACCAAGTGACCTGTTCTTATATGCTGTTACAGATTCAGGGATGAATAAGAAGTGGGGTCATTCAATTACAGATGTTGTTAAAGCTGCCATAGAAGGAGGTGCCACAATTGTCCAGTTAAGGTCAGTATTTATCAACACAAGAGTCAACTAATGGATTTACTTCATAAATTATATACAATAAACCAGTATATGTTCTCATGCTTTTTTGAGTCTTCTGATTAATTAATTTTATAAGTGGAACAATTGTTGTAGTTCTAGTCAGATTTGTTATAATTCATTTGAAATTTAAAATCACTCACCGGGATAAAGTTCATTAAAAATATGGCATCTCCTGCATAGTTTTCAATGCGTCTAGGCGATTCTGGGTGACACTAGGGAACCTAGTTGCCTAGGCGATAAAAAATTTATAATATAAAAAAACAAAATCTTGGCTAGCTTCCTAGTTTTATATACCATTCAGCATGTGTATTAATTGAAAAAATAGCAATTCTCTTTATTAAGAACATTAAATTTCCTCTAAAAACGTGGCAAATCATCACATCTAAAAGTTAAAAATCTTTTGCATATGTTATTTTCATTATTTTCAAAAATAATACTACTATAATAAGGATTTACTAGAGAAATTTCATATCAATTAGCAGCTAAAGAAGGCTATTAATTTTATATAATAAATATTTAAGATGGAAAGTAAAATTGAAAAAACACAGGATGGAGTTTCTGTTTTATTTAATTAGAGAGAGAGAGAGAGAATAGAAAAAAAAAGAAACAGAACCTCTCTATAATTCTATTCTTTCTTTCCTCTCTTTTTCTCTCGTCAGAACCGTTTGATCTTTTAAATTTCAATGGTAAAACATTAAGAGATTTTACCCCTCCCTTCCCATTGTATTTTTCTCTCTTCTCTCATCTTTTCTTCTTAATAAAAGTTTCTGTTATTGATAATATATATATATATATATAATAAAATGTATTAACACATACATTAATAAGATACAGCAATATAAATGATATTATAAAAGGCGCCCGCTTTGTCATTTTTGTTGCCTGGGTGGGTGCTTAGTCACCTAGGCTGGCATCTACTCACCTAGGCAGGTGCCTAGTCACCTAGAAGGGCGCCTAGTTCCTAAAAGTCAAGGTGTTTGGGCAAGGCGCCTCCTTGACAACCATGATCTCCTGTATTTTTTTATTTTTTTTGCTTTGGATATTATCAGTATTTTTCTGTTAACCAGATAGTAAAAGTGGCATTATAAAAAATTAAAATTAATATAAAATACCTCAAACATGTTTGCTTTGTCACCCAAATATGGCTAGGCAAGTTATCAGGTTACATAATTTATGCTAAAACTTGAAATCCTGAAAAGTTCAAAACCCTTGTATGGGTTTCCAGGAATCTTAGCATGTTTGGTTTTCTTTTCTTTGTATATAGATTTTCACACCATTGATTTCAACAATGTAACACTTCACGTGGTCAATTTGTATTTATTTAAAATATGTAGAGATGGTAGAGATAGTAGAGATACTAGGACCTGATTGTATTTGATCACAAGGAAGTTGGGAAGCCCACCAAGCAATCTTTCAATACTTGTAAGGCCAACTCCATTCAAATTCTCCCACCTTATTTAATGTTCTCTCCAACAGTCCAACTCAGAGAGGAAGAAGGAAAACAAATAGAAGTAAAATGAAAATTGAATCTGAATTGTTATAGACCATTGAGATGTTTGCAGTTTTTCTGGCTTCAATTCCCATGCTCTGGGTCATGGAAGCTTTGCAGCCTTGCAAATTTACAGCTCTCTGAGGTTTTATTGTCGATCAAATTGGAGATGTAGGTTACATTGCTTTCTCTGTGATACAAATGATTACTAGGTTGAATCCAAGCGGAAATAACTTGATGCTGTTGAATAATGCTAGTTCTGGGCTTTCATTCTCGCTGCAAGAAGTGATGACAGTGAAGAGCCTCCTATGGTCCATTCTGGGTTTCTTCATATCTTCCATTCTTTGAAAATCAGATGTCTATGCTAATGGAGAAAAGCAAATTGTTGATAGTTACAGGCCACTCAGAGGAACAACGGCCTCTCTTGCAGGTCTCTCCCCTCTTCCTTTTCAGTCCTCTGTATCACTTTTGGTTCTCCATTATTGGATAATGAGTTGATAAGAAACAACCCTTAGAGAAAGATGGGGAGGCAAATTTTGTCATGTTTTGTAGAATGATGTTGCCCCAAGGTTAATTTTTGCTCCCCTGAGCTCTGTAGCTACACATAACATATGGCCACATTGCAGATAGATTGTCCAACGAAGAGAAAACAGAATTTTATCATTACATACTGAATAATACTGCAGCTGCTGTGGCACAAAAAGATGGCTCAAAGAGATGTTCATATTGGAAATACAACATCTGTTTATATTAAAAATGCAACATTTGTTATCCATGTCATGGCACTTCTCCAAAACATGACATTGGAGGAGCTGTTTGTATTGAAATACCGCATTTGATGTTGTTAATGTCAACTGTGTAGGGGTATTATGGTCTTTATATTTATGTTTAAAGCTGCTGATGAGTAATGTTTTGTTAGTGGTTGTGTCCCATACTTAAGTAGGGGCAAAGGAGTCTTTTGTCTTTTGAGTAGAAACATATATCTTAAATCTGACTGACTAGAGAGGTGATTAATCTCTCTTGTTCGAACTAGAATTATTCTACTCTCTTCTCCTTCTCCTTCTTCTTCTTCTTCTTCTTCTTCTTCTTCTTCTAGTCTTTCTATTACTTCTTCAACCCTCATTCTAACAGAATTCTAGTGCAGATTAGGTTTATAATATGGTATCAGAGCTACTCTGACGAAATCGAATCTGCCCAGAATTCTGATTTTCTCACATCCGGCCTAGGGTTTTTTAATTTTTTTCTTCATCATCAGTTGGAGATAGGGAAAGGGGCTGAAAAGGAGTGATCACCCTCTTCCCTTGGAGGTTTCTATGCCTCCGGTCAGCAAGTTTGTGGGTGTTTGCAGTGATTCGTAGGAAGCCCCCCTAATCGATGGAGAGAAGAGGGCTGATTCGAGTGATGCAGTGGAGTGTCAGTGCAGCTTGATTTTCTGGTGATTAGGTCAGTGATTTTGTGCAGTTTTTCAGTGTGAGTCAAATGGTTGGTGAGTTCCAAGTAGTGTGGTGAAAATTCAGGTTGTTGTGTGTTAGGGTTTTGTGCAGATTTCAGTGTGAATCGAAGGGTGAATGAGTTTCGAGTAGTGTGGTGAGTATTCAGGTAATCGTGTAGTAGGGTTGTGGTGTGGAGAGTGAAGAATTCAGCAACAAGTGGTGCTGAGTGCAGTGTGGTATAGTGTGCAGTGTGGTGAGAAGTGAATTAGGAAGATTTTTGACAACAGTTAAAACAAAACTAGTGTGATGGTTCTGACCTACTACCTGAATGTTCAGATGACTTCTATCAAATTGAATGGAGAAAACTATTGCCTTGGGCGAAATCTGTAGAAGTCTTTCTTAAAGCAAAGAAGAAAGTGAAGCATATAAGGGAAGAAAAACCCTCTACTGAGTCTCATGAGTATGGTGATTGGGAACAAGAAGATGCACAGATTATAACCTGGTTATGGAATAGTATGGAACCTAAGATTAGTATGAATTTCATGTTTTTGGATACAACCAAGGAAGTTTGGGACCATGCTAAGAAGTTGTATTCGGGACAAAACAACACAACTAGAGTGTATTAGCTTTATCAAGAATACTTTAATTTGCGACAAGGTAACCAGAGTCTTGAGGAGTACTATGCCTGCATGGGAAACCTTCGCAATGAGCTGAGTGTGTATCATCCCCTCCCCTCTAATGTTAAAATTCAGCAACAGCAGAGAGAACAATTAGATGCGACCAGATTTTTGGTAGGACTGAAATCTGAATACAAACTAGTAAGGGCACAAATACTAGGGGGATCAGCTCTTCCATCCTTAGAAGAGGTGTTTGCTCGGCTTCGGAGGATTTTTATTGGATCTATAGAGAATTCTATTATCTCTGATAGGTCGGTCTTTGCAGTATCAAGAGGTCGTGGTGTTAGAGGTGGAGCTTGGGGAGCTCTTTTTGGCCGTAGTGGTAGCAGTGGACCGGTGTATGGTCGTAGTGGTGGTGGTGGACCTATGTATAGTCGTGGTGGTGGACATATTCGAGGTCGAGATTCAGGGGGAGTTCGTGGTAGAGGACATAGTTTTGATCCAAGAAGATGTACGACTGTGGTATGATTGGGCATACCATCAATTATTGTTATGATTTGCATGGTCCACCTTCAACTTGGGAAAATCATGCGGTGACTAGTGATAGTAGTTCCAGACTGGAGAACCATCCAGCTGATCAGATACCCTCTATATGTACAAATGTTCTCGGGAAGGAGATGATGAGTGTTCCACGTGATGAGTATGAGAGGTTTGTTCAGGCCACATCTAAATAGAATACAACCACTCTTGCACACTCAGGTATGGCTTGTCTGGCATCTAAACCCAACCCTTGGATTATTGACTCTAGAGTCTCCAATCACATGACTGGAACTCTAGGTGTGTTTTCCTCCCTCTCTCAGTGCCTAACATCACACTCTGTTACCCTTGCTAATGGTTCCACATCTTCCATTTGTGGTGTTGGTAATGTTAACATAGACCCTTTATCTTTATCCTCAGTTTTGTATGTTCCCAAGTTTCCTTTTAACCTTGTCTGTTAGTAAGTTGACCAAGTCTCTTAATTTCTTTATCACTTTTTACCCTTGTGTTTTTCAGGATCTCAAGACGGGGATGAAGATTGGTGGAGGGCATGAAGCTGATGGACTGTATTACCTTGATGGAAGTGCATTGACAGCTCTTCAGACATTTCTTACTCCTCTCCAATGGCACTGCCGATTTGGTCATCCATCACTTAAAGTTTTGAAATCTCTTGTTCCATCATTGAGTCATCTTTCTGTTTTGGATTGTGAATCATGCCAGTTGGGGAAACATCATTGTGTTCCCTTTAGTCCTAGGGTTGATAATCGTATGTCGAATCCTTTTTCTTTAGTTCATTCAGATGTTTGGGGTCAAAATAAAATAATGTCATACAATGGTTATAGATACTTTGTTATTTTTGTTGATGATTATTTAAGAATGACGTGG